CCCCATGACGCGGAGCGCGCGAGGCCTTGGCAGGCGAAGTCCATCGAGTCGCGGAGGAGCTTGAGCTTCTGCCCGCCGAGTTGCGAGGGCATGACTCCGAGGCGCGCGGGCGCGGTCGCGAGGGCGGTGGACTGGGCGATGAGGGCGGCACACGTCGCGCGGAACGTCGGCGGCGCGTCCTTTGCGAGCAGCGTGCAGAGCACGAGCTCGCGCGGGGGCGTGGCGCGGGAGGTGCGACGGCGGCGGACGGTGCGGATGAGGAACCAAGAAGAGAGAGTGAGGACGATGAGAAAGAGGAGGACGAGGATGATGCCGAGGTAGGTAAGGATAGGGCTGGTTGGGTTGGGTGTAGGCTTGGATGCGATTGCTTGAGCGGGGGCCATGGTGGGCGAAAGTGAACTTGCTGGGGGGGGGCAGGGAGGCTTGCGGCATGGTTTGTGAATGAGAATTGCAGAATGGCCTGGTATGTTTCGACTGGGTGCGCGAGGTTAGCATGGAATGGCTTCGGTGGGCGGTTGGACCAAATTGAAACGCCTAGAAGGCTGGTCACAACGATGTGGGGACCAAATCGCCACGTCTGGTCCAGATGATCGTTAGGCAGTAGTGAATTCAAGAATAAATGTACGACAATAATTTATACCACAACTTGAGGATGACCCGTTGAAACAATACCATGTTGTACCTTCGCAGAGCGATGAGATGCAAGGGACCATGACACCCCTGGCGATTATTGATGGTGTATAGCGCATTTGCTCGCAAACACTTATGCGAAGAGTTGTCACCCATATTCTAGTTGGAGTATCCGGACAAATCGCAAGTGCTAGCCTGCCTGTCTTTGGGTGGAACTGAAATACCAGGCCCATGTGATGTGCGTCGCAATCTGAGTGTCTTGTACAAGTCAGTCCATACTGCAGATGAGAGGGTCCTTTAAGCGTAGGCCATCCGACGAACGAACACGAAGTCGTCGGATGACAACGGGTGGGGCGGGATTGGGAGTGTGTATCTAGGTCGTCAATGGCCCGGTCCGGCTAGGATGAAGAGAAGCCGGCAGATAACGGCTCACTGAGCCCACAAACATCGTACGTATCTCGAATGCCCCCAGATCAACCGGCGATTTTCGTCCATGGCCGGCTTGAGTTGGTCACTATTGGGGCTAGCCACGTTACTCGATCAACCGGAGCACGTCAGCCGCTATGCTGAACTTGTGCAGCGCGGCGGCTTGATGTAGTTTAAAAGATCAAGGAGCAGGCATGAACGACGTAGGAACGATGGAACTGCAGAAGGCATTGCGAGGTTGAGGGACTGTGTGAGTACAACTCGAAAGGCCCCAAACCAGTGGCTGCGCGAGGCTTATTTGTCAATGTTTGTTCGTATACGAACAAGGATTCTGAGCTAGCGTTTTCAATCGGTGATAACTGCCTTGTCGCTTTTGTGTGCCTGTATATATGTGGGTTCTGTCCTCACAGAATTATCTGTACTTCCACAAGGGATAGGTGTGGTGGATGATTTCAGGTCCGATGGAGCGAACATTAGTGGGCCGTCGATTCTGTTACTGCCACGGCCGCCGGCTTGTCTCAAGGGAAACCGGTCATATACAAGGGGGGGAGATATGAACGGCACACGGTGGACTGGGCGGGGCTTCCTCTCTATAACGAAACCCATTTCTAGGAGCCCGGGGAAGTCAAAATTATCGGTACAATCTATAGTCCGTCTTTGTCTATACCACTGGATATTCCATCCGTCGGTCTACAATCACCTGCTCGCCTCCTCCATATCCTCTCTCCACCTTTTCTGCAGGTCAATGCTCTCCCTGAAGATCCTATACTTCGCCTCAAGCATTTTGTCCTCCTTCGGCGTCGCCGAGGGCTGCACAATCGTCGCGGGCGGGGTCATCTCGACCATGATCGCCCAGAGCTTCTTGTTGTGCTCGTCGCGCGACATGCCGGGCTTCCACTCCGCCGCGAAGCGTCCAAGCATGGCCGCGCCGAGGACGACCGCGGCAGAGTACGAGTGCGGGAGGACGACGGGCATGTGGCACGCGTTGGCGAAGAGGCGCATCATCGCGCGGTTCTGCGCCTGCGAGCCCGACATGTAGATCGTGTTGATCGTGTGCCCCGCGGTGTTGAGCGCGTCGACGATGTGCCGCGTCTGCAGCGCGATCGCCTCGAGCGTGAGCGCGTACTTGCGCGCGAGGTCGTGCAGGGAGGAGTCGAGCGTGAGCCCCATGAGGGAGCCGCGCATGCGGGGGTCGGCGATGGGGGAGCGGTTGCCTGGGATGTGTTAGGCACGTCGTTGGGGAGGATGAAGGTGGGAGGGCATACCGTGCAGATCGGGGTAGAAGTGCATGAACTTGAGAACTTCCGTCCATGTTTCGGCGCCCTCACGCTTGCGGATCTCCTCAAGAGTATCAGCGAGTACTAGAAGGGGCGTTAGAAGGGCAGAAAGGTAGGGTTGGCCTTGTCTGACCTTGATGGATGTTAGTCTTGCGGTCCGCCGCAACCTGCTTGAGCTCAGCGTAGGCAGGGTGAGTGGTAATCATGAAGTCAATCAGCTGTGAGAGGCAAACGTCAGTTGTTAGCTCAGTCGCAGTCGTAAAGTACGCACTTGACCAGTGGAGGATTGGCCACCCTCGTTCATCCACCAACCGGGGAAGACCGCATCCTACAGAGCCGAATAAGAATCAGCCCTCAAAGATTCCGACGGAGCGTACCTTATACGGGCCCCAAACACCATCGACGAATACGCCTTCCTTGCTCTATGGAGACGTGAGCCTGACATCAAATTTCAAGACACAAGGAACGTACCTGGACAATGTGACATGTGCTCGTACCAGCGACAGCTGCGAGACGGTGTCCGGACTCCTCGAAGGCTACGCGCTCAGACAACTTGCCCCCCTCCTCGTGGCGTGCTGCGATGGTGCCAAGCCACCCTGCATACCTTCTCGGCGTCAGGTGGGGATAAAGTGGAGCGCATATGTGTGGTACGTACGCGTCAATGACACCACTGCCGACAGGCGTGCCCTCGAGGAGACCAAGCTCCTCGGCGGCGCGCTTCGACAGACCCTTGCCAACAGGTGAGCCAGCAGTGAGGACATCGCCATCGACGGCGCCCATCTGCTTGAACCCGTTTGCGGGGATTTCGGGAAGCCCGATGGACTCGAAGAAGTCGGCCTGCCAGCCCTTATCGGGGACGTAAGATTCCTTGCAGGTGATGGAGCAGACCGAGCGCGTGTTGAAGCCCGTGGCATGATACGTGAGGAAGTCGGGGAGATCAAAGAACTGGCAGCGCGCGAAGAGCTTGGGGTCCATGCGCTTCTTGAGCCAGAGGATCTTGGGGACCTCCATCTCGAGCTACGGGCGGATCAGCGGGATGCGGCTTTCGGATGGCGGACAGACGCACACTCATCGTGCCGCCGACGTAGTTGAGCACGATCGACTTTTTGCTGTTGATCAGCTCCGCCTCCTCCTCTGCGCGGTGGTCCGCCCAGAGGCAGATGTTGCGCTCGCCGTTTTTGCCGACGTCGGCGCCCTTGGTCACGGAGACGGGTTCGCCGTTCAGATCAGAAACGGTGAGCGAGCAGGTCGCATCGAAGCCGATTCCCTTGACGTCGGCGGGGGACACCTTCGACTCTGCGAGAACGTCGCGGACACAGGCACAGATGCCGGCCCAAATTTCGGTGGTGGACTGCTCGAAAATGCGGTGGTCGTGCGAGTCGCGCCAGGTGGTGGTGTCCTTGGTGGACGAGGCGACGAGCGTGCCGTCGTTCTTGACGAGGCCCGCGCGGACGGAGCCAGTGCCAACGTCGATGCCGATGTAGTAACTTTCGCCTGCCATGGTGGTGAGAAACAAGAAAGATGGACTCACGGTGAGGTATCGATTTGGGCGAGCGGCGCTACGCTTGTCCTATAAGCCTTGCAGACAGCCGGAACTGTATGTAATGCAGTCGCCCCACTCCGAACGCCTCTCACCGTCGATTTATCGATGCAGATGCAGACGCGATTGCCGTGAGCTCGCCTCTCTCAATCTCAAAGGCGCCCACGCCCCGGGCATCATCATAGATTTTCCAGTCTAGACCGCACGCAAAATTGACAACAACGGTCCGAAGTGCGCGAACGCGCCCAGCAATATTCACGACGGTGTTCACAAATTTCGCAATCTCACACAGGCGTCTCTGACGCAGAGAATGATGCGTTGCGATGCCTTTTCAAAGCATAGATTTTGGAGTGCGTATGGGGTACATGGGCTTAAACGACGAGCATAAATGATATGAGACAAGTGGTAATGCGTTTAATCCGTGCTCGCGGTCGAACGAGCTGGAAATAGAGTCAGCAGCTGCTCGAAACCTCGTAAAGATGCAGGTACGCACTGTAGATGAGCTGCCCGTGGTGGTGCACGATGCGCTTGATCTGGCCCTCCTTCTCCAAATGCCTGATGGCAACACGCGCAAGGCTGCCGTTGACCTTCAGCCGCTCGATGAGGATGCTCTGGCTGATGAAGCGGAACGTCGGCACTTCCTTCAGGATGCGGTCGTAGGTGGGCTTGTCAAGGGTGACGGCGTGCTGCGCCTTGTCCTTGACCTTTCCCTTGGACCACTTCTTCTTCTTTGCGGACTTGCCGCCGCTGCTCGACGACGGGGGAGCTGCCTTAGCTTTGGCCTGGAGAACGAAGGCTGGGAGTCAGTACGGTGCTTCAAGTCGCGGGTGTACACCATGTCATCCGGACGGTAAAGTTCCCATCCACCCGTCCGGACTGCTTCAAAAACGACAGAAACCGCAGTGCAAGGCAGAAGTGAACGCAGGCCATCCCCGGGCACGAATGCTGGCAGGATAACGGACACTCACCATCTTTTACAGCCTTGTCGTTGATGTCGGTAGGGAGCGTTGGCCTGCGTTCTCTCCTACCCAGAACGGACTTCAAAGCAGAAACTCCGACGGATTATTATGTAATTATGGCAGCCATTTCACGCGCGGTATGTAGCTTGCAAGACAATATCTCATAAGGGTTCGGTGGCGTAGTTGGTTATCGCATCTGTCTAACATTAATTTGGTGCACAGAAGGTCCCTGGTTCGAACCCGGGCCGAATCAACTTTTACCTCGATACATGAGGAATCTCAATCCTCTGGTCCCACATCTCATTGCTCTAGCATTCCATTATTCGAACCGTCTTTCATCTCTGGCATGCAAGATTTTTTGACATGATAATTTTTGTAGCCAGATATCATACCCACAAGTCAATAATCATTCATGGCCGCCTGGCGAAATGGCATCGCGTCTGACTACGATTCAAAGTCGCACATCAGGAGATTGCAGGTTCGACCCCTGCGGTGGTCATTTTTCTGCCATCTTGCTGTCTAAAATTGTGGGAGGAGAGGAGGCAGAACGATTTTACGAGCGGAGGCAGGAGGAAGATCGTGCCGCCGCGGGCGCTTGTTGGGCGCCTAATTGCCTTTTTGGGTTGACGCGACTTCGGTCCACCGAGTTGCTCTCCTCCATGTCCTCTGCCAGCATCCTCGTTCTACGAAAGCTCGTTCGCAAAGCCCATATCTTCAGCAGAAAAAGCTTCGTTTCAGCTATCTCTGTCGAATTCCTATGACTTTACTATCCAGCCCAGGCCGGGCCCACGTATACTGTTCAAGTCGGTCAGTCTGCATCGTTATGAGCTTCAGGGTATACGCGAGGTACGCTTTGACTATCTTCCAAGATGCTCACATTATAGTAGGAGCGTGTTTCTATGCGACTGCGCGTGCATCTGGCGATCTATCAGGGTGGACGTTTTCCAAACGTCGTCCTCACTGCACCCCTTGCGGTCTTCCACATGTTCATTGCCAACGCGGAAGAGGAGATGCAAGCGGCATGTCGTTCGTTCGAGACTGATGGTCCGGAAAATAACGCAGCCCGTATTGAACTACGGTGGTTATAACGGTGCTGCCAACATCCCTGCTTGCTCAAGTCAACCACCATGTCGCCTATTCAAGCCCCAACGCAAGTCAACAACGACCTCTTTGTCCTCATCGCTCTCGTCTTGGCCTTTCTCTTTCTCGTCATCCTCTTCTTCGCAACTCGGGACATCATCCGTACTATCCGCCGCCGCCGCACCTCGACCCTTCCTCGCCAGCTGCTCCTTCCTCAGATGCTCGCGCAACAGGCTCCTCCAACGTTCTTTTCTACCTGCTCGGCTCTCCTCGTTCAATCTACGCTGCTCGCCACGGCCCCCGCTCGCGTTCGACTCATGTCCGACGAATTTGGCGGCAAGAAGGTTCTCCGTCACTCTTGGGACACCGCACGCCAAGGACTCAAGCACTCCGTCACCTGGACCAAAGCATCGTTTTCTCTCTTCGGTGTCCCGTCCGCGGCTATCTCGAACCACCACCATCTAACCTCCGACTCCGTCGTCGCAAAGCTCCTTGCCCTTCATGGCCGGCGCGACTTCGACCTGGAGGCTGGTATTCCCGAGAACCCTCCCTCTGACCGTGTTGGCCTTTATCAGTACGCTATGCGGCTGACGGATGCCTTCGAGGACGTGAGCGACCCGAAGCCCTTTAGCCCTCCGATGTTCCAGCCTGCGCCTTCTTGTGGAGTCCCGAAGATTTGGATGGCACAGATGAAGCCTGCTGCTGAGCTTTCTGCTCCCATCTCCGTTTCCCGCGAGGTTCCGAAGATGTGGAAGGAGACACCTGCGGCTGAGATGAGGCCCAAGGCCCCGTCCGCACAGCCACCTGCGCTCTTCATCCCCTTCGTGCCTCGCACCTACGCTAGCCTTGTTCCGCCCTTCGAGCACCCTTCGGCCGCCCCCCTCCACCCGGTGAACCTCAACGCCAACTTGCCTCCGACTCAGTATGTGCGCAAGCACACTCAGACGCAGTCTGTTGTCTTGGGCTCCGCTCGCCGCAGCTACAGCCGAAGCATCCGCAAGGCGCTGATAAACGAGAACTTTGTGACCACGACCACCACTACGACCACCTTCACCGACAGCCGTCGCTATAGCTATCTCCCAGCGTCGGTCACTATGCCTACTGCTCCGTTCACCGACGAGAACGATATCGCCGAGCTTGGATGGCCCGTTCCTCCGGTCTGAACAGACACCACTGATATCCCCACGCGATTGCAAGATGAATCAGATTCAATTTCCAAGACCTCGCTCCACGCACTCCTCCAACCACCCCCACGCATCGTTGTTGTCTCTTTTCGCCTCGGGTTCCTTGGGTTATTCTGTGTTTTGACTCCTTTCTCTTTGGGTTCTGGTTCGCTCGTCTCGTCCTGACTGCTATGCATCATTGACTCGTCTGTTATCTGCATTGTCCCGTCCCGTCTCGACTCGTAACCCCCAGCATTGCTTCTATCTGCATCACCCCGTCTCCCCCGCATTCAGTATATGTTCCGTGATATCATCGCATTGTTACCGTACGACCCGGATCGTGTTCCGTGTCTCCCAGTTTGTGTGCAATAAGATTGTGGTTTGGATGTGGTTTCAGTTTGGCTGCGCGTAAGATGATGGTGTTCCGCCGGTGCAAGCCTGAGCCAACTTCGATTCTTATAGCGATGGGAAGCAGCCACCAGTTGCTGCATCCTACTGGTATATTCTCGGAAGTGAAGGTGCTCACCGAGAGGCCTTCAATTCCCTGGTACAGATTCCAAGGAGTGTTGAGCAACTTCCCAATGTGTTCTCAGCCATGTGTCCTGCTATTCTCAGAGGATCTGCCGAGAAGCACAGCTGCCTACGACAACTTCTGCTAGACACTAGACAAAAAGGTGTACAGACTGCGTCAGAGCTTGGTCTGAATGTTTGTGGCGACAATAAAGAGAGCAGTGTGCCTGTGCAAGAAGAACAATTGAAGGGAGTCTAGCGTCGGGGGGAGAAATGGAGTTCCCACGGGTCCGCATGGCTTCAGGCGGCGGTCTTGAGCGTTCGAGTCTTCCTCCTCCCGCTCCTCCTCGTCCCCGCCCAAAATGCAGCCCTCCTCCCGCCCCGCCTCCACATCGACCCGCCCCACGCACTCCCCCAACCCCCGCCCCCAGTACCAGGTCAATACCCAGACAAAACTCATCGATACCGTCCATGGCAGGATCCTCTGTATTGCTGACATTCGTGGCCGCCTCTCCGCGCTGAATGACCTCGCGCGCGAAGCCAACGCAAAAGCCATCATCCACACCGGCGATTTTGGTATCTTCGGTGCGTCTCTGCCCTCTTTGCCACCTGGATCGCCCGCTAACGCGCTGCTGCGGCACCCTGGACAGATGCATCGAGCATCGAGCGCATCCACGACCGCACGCTCCGCCACCTGACGATGTACTCGCCGCTCATCCCGAGCGCGCAGCGCAACCACCTCCTCTCGCCCGAAAACACGCCCGCCAGCATCCGCCAGACGCTCACCATCTCCATGCTCTCCGAATTCCCGCTGCTGCTGTCCGGGCAGATCAAGCTGCAGGTGCCCGTGTTCACCGTCGTCGGCGCCTGCGAGGACGTGCTGCTGCTCGAGGGCATCCGCTCGGGGCGCCACGTGATCGAGAACCTGCACATCCTCGACGAGGCCACGACGCGCCTGCTCGACGTCGGCGGCGTCAAGCTGCGCCTGCTCGGGCTCGGCGGCGCGTTCGTGCCGCACAAGATGTTCGACAACGGCGACGGCAACGCGACGATCGCCGGCGGCGGCGGCACGATCTGGACGACGATGCTGCAGATCGGCGAGCTCGTCGACACCGCGCAGCGCGTCTTCGACCCGTCCGAGACGCGCCTCCTCGTCACGCACGCGAGCCCCGGCCGCGAGGGCATCCTCGCGTCGCTCGCGCTCGTGCTCAAGGCGGACCTCACGATCAGCGCGGGGCTGCACTTCCGCTACGCCACGTCGTGGAACGAGTTCAGCGTGCAGGGCGACTTTGAGGGCTTCCGCCACAAGCTCGTCGTGGGCAAGGAGGCGTTCGACAAGGTCTGGGAGAGCGTCAAGACGCAGGTGGACGCCGTCATCGACGAGCACCAGCGCGTGCTCCTCGACAAGGCGCTTGCGGTTATCGAGCGCATCCCCCCGCCGCTCGGCCAGGTCGGCCCCGGGGGCGCGGTGGCGGGCGAGGAGCCAGCGTGGAAGAACTGCTGGAACTGGAACCTGTGTGACGCGGCGTACGGCTCACTCGTGCTCGACATCAAGGAGGGCCGTGTCAGCGCGGAGCTCAAGTCGCAAGGTGCGTGATTGTTTGAATTTTTGTGGCGCAGCGGCTGAGTGTCGTGTTGTAGGCTTCAATTATGCATACCGCCGCACTGCGACGCCGTCTGCTACCACTGCTACCGATTCGGCGACGACGGAGGTCGCGCCGCAGACGACTACTACGGCTAATGCTACTGGTCCTGGAACAAAGGCGTCTACGCCCATCCCCGGCGACCGCCCTGGATCCACGTCGACTCCGTCTACCAAGCCACAGACACAGGCGCAGTCCCCTTCGTCCGCCGCGAAGGTGAATGTGAACGGTAATGGAACCAGCGCGTCGCCGGCGCCGGGCGAGAAGGAGAAGACGGAGAAGGAAAAGGAGAAGGCAGAGCGCGAGAAGCAGAAGCGCAAGGAGAAGAAGGAGCGCAAGGAGAAGGAGCGGCAGGAGCGCGAGGCCAAGGAGAAGGAGAGCCAGCAGCAGGGGCAAGGGCAGGGCGACATTGCTGCGCAGATCGGCCAGGACCCCACCACGTCGTGGATGGTCCCGGTGGACGACGACGCGTGGGGCAAGTCGAACGACGACAACAACGCGGGCTGGGAGGCGAAGGACGGCGGAGAGAACGCCTGGGAGGCGAAGAACACGGACGACTCGGGCTGGGACCTGCCGAAGGGCACCAAGTCTGCGTCGCCGGCGAACGGGGCGTCGATGCAGTCGCCGCACACGGATGCGTCGGGCCTGATGAGCCCGCGGACGGACAGCACGGGCGCGCGCACGCCGACGAGCAAGCGGCCGCCGCGCAACCCGTGGACGCTGTTCGTGAAGCTGCCGGTGCCGGCGAACGAGGGAGAGCTGAGGGAGTTCTTTGGAGAGTCGAAGAGCGGGGTGCGTCATTTTTTTTCTGTGTTGTCTGTGTGATCGGTTCTTCGAGACGGTGCTGACCGGCTATCGTTATCTACAGATTACGCGTGTCAACTATCCGAACTCGTTCCAGGGGCGGCAGCAGAAGATTGCGTATGTCGAGTTTGGAGACGAGGAGGCGATGAAGGCCGGGCTGGAGAAACACGCCGAAGTATGTCCTTCTCCGTTTGTGCGTGTCTGACAGAGGCTGACTGCGCCTTACGTGTAGAAACTGAACGATGGCACGCCCGAGGTGAAGGTGGCGGATCGCGAGCCTCGGGAGTTCAATGGTCCGT